CTTTTAAGGAGACACCATAGGCCACAAATTTTCAACAGATCTTAAGATATCATACAAAATATCTTCCTTGACCACAATAGGATATATTTAGAAATCATAACAAAAAATAGGAAAATTCACCAAATTGCAAACAATATAGTTTTAAACTACCAATGGATCAACTTAGAAAATACTTAGAGATGAATGAAAATGGAAATACAACATCCCAAAACTTATGGAACACAGCAAAAGTAGTGCTAATGGGGAAACTTAGTGTTATAAATGCTTACCTTATACAAAAAAGAAGGATATGTGTCTGGCTCAGTTGGTAGAGCATGTGACTCTTGATCTTGGGGTTGTGTGCTTGAACCCTATGTTGGGTATCGAGATTACTTTTAAAAAAAATCTTTAAAAAAACAAGAAAGATATTAAATCTACAACCTGATTTTACAATTAAAGAAACTTTAGGGGATCCCTGGGTGGCGCAGCAGTTTGGCGCCTGCCTTTGGCCCAGGGCGTGATCCTGGAGACCCGGATCAAGTCCCACATTGAGCTCCTGGTGCATGGAGCCTGCTTCTCTCTCTGCCTGTGTCTCTGCCTCTCTCTCTCTCTCTGTGTGTGACTATCATAAATAAAAATTTTTAAAAAATGAATAAATAGCAACATCTGTTTAAAAAAAATTTATCAACACACTATGCCACATCAACAGAATGAAGAAAAAAACACATGATCATCTCAAATGATGCAGAGAAAGCATATGGCAAAATACTACATTTTTTCATGGTTAAAAAAAAAACAAACAGGGGCAGCCCCGGTGGCGCAGCGGTTTATCACTGCCTGCAGCCCAGGGTATGATCCTGGAGACCCTGGATCGAGTCCGGCGACGGGCTCTCTGCATGGAGCCTGCTTCTCCCTCCTTCTGTGTCTCTGCCTCTCTCTCTCTCATGAAAAAATAAATAAATCTTAAAAAAAAAAAAAAAGAGTTCTAGCCAAAACAATTAGGCAAGAAAAATAGTTACTCAGATTGGGAAGGAAGAAGTAAAATTTTCTACTTGCAGAGGCACCTAGGTGGCTCAGTCAGTTAAAATGACTCTTAATTTCTGCGCAGGTCATGATCTCAGGGTCATGAGATCGAGGTGCATCAGGCTCCCTGTGTGCTCAGCAGGGAGTCTGCTTCCTTCTCTCTCTCTCCTCACCCCATCCTTTTCTTCTCTTGTTTTGTCTCTCCAAAATAAATCTTATAAAAAATTTTATTTGCAGATGATATATGTATAAAATTCTATAGATTCCACCAAAAAACCTGTCAGAATAAATGAATTCAGCAGAGTAGTTGAATACAAAGTCAACACTCCACAATTAGTTGCATTTCTATACACTACTAACAATGAACAGCCCAAAAAGGAAATTAAAAACCAATTCCTTTTAAAATGGCACCAAAAGAATGAAATAAATTTTTTTTTTAGTTTATTAAGTAGGCTCTACACCCAACATAGGGCTTGAACTCACAACTCTGAGATCAAGTCATACTCCTCTGACTGAGCCAGCCAGGCACCTTGAAATACCTTGTAATTAATTCAATCAAAGAGGTGAAAGATTCATACAATGAAAATAAAACATTGCTTAAAGAAATTAAGACAAAGTGGAAATACATTTTATGTTCATGGATTAGAAGGGTTAATATTGTTAAAATGTCAATATTACAAAGTGATCTACAAATTTGATGCAATCTCTATCTAAATCCCAATGACAGTTTTAGCATACATGATAAAATTATCCCAAAATTCATATGGAAACTCAAGGGACACCAAATAGCCAAAACAATCTTGGAGAAAAAAAAAATAACTGGAGGAATCATACTTCCCGATTTCAATACTTACTACAAAGCTACTGTAATCAAAACAGTGTGGTACTGGCATAACAAGAGACACACAGACCAAGGGAATACAGAGAACCCAGAAACAAACCGCACATATATGGTCAAATGATTTTTTTTTAAATTTTTATTTATTTATGATAGAGAGAGAGAGAGGCAGAGACATAGGCAGAGGGAGAAGCAGGCTCCATTCACCGGGAGCCCGATGTGGGATTCGATCCCGGGTCTCCAGGATCGCGCCCTGGGCCAAAGGCAGGCGCCAAACCGCTGCGCCACCCAGGGATCCCATGGTCAAATGATTTTTGATAAGGGTTCCAAGACCATTAATGGAGAAAGAACAACCTATTCAGCAAATGGTGCTAGGAAAACGGTATGTACATGCTAAAGAATGAAGTTGGACCCTTCAGCAACACTATTTTGCTTCATAATACTGGGTTCAGCAATGATCTCTTGGCATGACACCAAAGGCACAGGTAACAAAAGAAAAAACAGGTAAACTGGACTTCATGACAATTTAAAAGCCTTATGTATCAAAAGACACTCTCAACAGAGTAAAAAGGCGAGGCACCTGGGTGGTTCAGTCAGTTAGGCATTTGCCTTCAGTCAGTTCAGGTCATGGTCCCAGTGTCTTGGGATCGAGTCCTGCATTGGGTTTCCTGCTCAGTGGGGAAATTTCTCTCCCTCTGCCACTCCCCCTGCCGGTGCTTGCTCTTTCCCTCCCTCTCCCTCTGTGTCAAATACATAAAAATCATTAAAAAAAAAAAAAGGTAAAAAGGCAAACCCCTAGAACATTTAAATGTAAAATTTTTGTAAATTATCTGATAATGGATTAATACCCAGAATGAATATACATGTAACTCAAGAGAAGAAACAAACATTGGCAAAGGATTTGAACATTTATCCAAAAAAGATATACAAATGGCCAAGCACATCGAAAGTTGTGTCACTGATCAGAGAAGTGCAAATCAAAACTGTTAAGACACCACTTCCTTTAGAGTGGCTACTATCAAAAAATCACAAAGTACATTTTGGCAAGGATGTGGAGAAACTAGAACCAATGTATACTGTGGTAGGAATGTAAAACGGTACAGTCACTGTGGAAAACCGTATGATGAAGTTTCCTCAAAATATAAAAACAGAATTACCATATGATCTAGTAATTCCTCTTCTGAGTATATATTCAAAGAACTGAAAGCAGGATCTCAAAGGCATATTTGTACACACATTCATAGCAGTGTTAGTCACAATAGGTAAAACATGTAAACAACCCAAATGTCCACTGATGGGTGGATAAACAAAAAGTGGCAAATACACATAGAATAATATTCAGCCTTAAAAAGGAAACCCAATATGCTACAACATGGATGAAATTTGAGGTAATTATGCTCAGTGAAATAAGCCAATCACAAAAAGACAGATTCCACTTCTGTGAGGTACTTAGTCAAAATCATAAAGACAGAAAAGTTTAAAGGTAGTTGCCACAAACTGGGGGGAAGGGAGAATGGGGAGTTAAAGGGGCCAAGTTTCATGGTTACAAATGAAGAGAGTCATGGGGATGAATGGCTGAGATAGTTGCACAAGAATGTGAATTTACTTAATAACACTTTATACTTAAAAAAATGGTTAAGATGATAATTGTCATGTGTATTTTTACAATAAAAGAAAAAAAAATGAACTTTAGGTAGATCAAACACCTGTCCAGCACAAAAAAGTATTGAAAAACTAATATAACCACAAAAAAATTTTGCTTCACAAAACGCCAGTAACAAGGTAAAATTAAGATAGAGTATTTGTAACTTCTAGTTACAAAATGAATTTCCTCAATGCTTGAGCTCTTAAATAAGAAAAATAGGCGAAATACAATACGAATGGTTTAATGGACTATAAAATATTCAACCTTAATAAACAAATTCTAAACTACAAGTAAACTCCACTTTTCTTCCATAAGTTTGGCAAGGGTCAAAAAGTTGCTCACAGGTGTGAGCAACTAGGCATCCTCCTGTATTGGCAAGCCCTGGGAGCTGGGGGGATCAGAAAACTTCTGAAAGACTATGATGGCAAAATGCTCTTTTTTACTTGACTTCTAATGATTTTCTAGATTCATAACTGTCCAAAAATACAGAGACTACTTAAATGGATTCTTATATATGGCTATATATACAATATATGTATTTACATACACACATCAGCACACCAGACAGAGGCCAGTTTGTCATGGGATTTCCTTTGGAGCTTAAATGGAACTGGATTATAGAACTGACAGCAGCAGCCACCTTCTTTCCTCAACTGTACCCATTGGCAAATATACATATGGAGTTTATATCCATAGGTGTAATACTTTAGTACTGCCATAAAGAATGCAGGGCAGCCCGGGTGGCTCAGTGGTTTAGCACCGCCTTCGGCCCAGGTTGTGATCCTGGAGACCAGGGATTGAGTCCTGCATTGGGCTCCCTGCACGGAGCTTGCTTCTTTCTCTGCATCTCTCATGAATAAATAAAATCTTAAAAAAAAAAAAAAAAGAAAAAAAAGAATGCAGATGGTCTGGGGCACCTAGGTAGCTCAGTGGGTTAAACATCTGCATTCAGCTCAGGTCATGATCCTGGAGGCCCAGAATCCAGCCCCATGTTGGGCTCCCTGCTCAGCAGGAGTCTACTTTTTCCTCTCCCTCTGGCCCTCCTGTTCCTTCTCTGTCTCAAATAAATTTTTTTTTAAATTTTTATTTATTTATGATAGTCACAGAGAGAGAGAGAGAGAGAGGCAGAGACACAGGCAGAGGGAGAAGCAGGCTCCATGCATCGGGAGCCCAACGTGGGATTCGATCCGGGTCTCCAGGATCGCGCCCTGGGCCAAAGGCAGGCGCCAAACCACTGCGCCACCCAGGGATCCCTCAAATAAATCTTAAAAAAAAAAAATGTAGATGGTCAGATAAATGTTTCAAAGATCATGGTTCAGTGAAAATGAAAGATATAGTGAAGAAGGCTTAAAGTATACTCTTTTGTTTAAAAATATGGGGTGATATAGGGGCACCTGTATGGCTCAGTTGAGCGTATGCCTAGTGCTCAGGTCATGGTACTGGGGCTGAGCCCCGTGTTGGGCTCCCTGCTCTGTGGGGAGTCTGCTTCTTCCTCTCCCTGTTCTTCCCCTCCCTCTCCCCACCACTCATGCTCTCTCCTTCTCTCAAACAAAATCTTTAAGAACATATTTTTCAATCATATAGTTATTCTACTGAATACATTAACACGATCCCAAAGAAAGGGGGAAAAAATAGCTCCAAAAAATCATGGTCAAATCTGAGTTATCTGTTGGAATAAAAAAAATGGAAAGTTGGTTATAACAGTAAGATGGCTTCAGCTTAAAATAAGTGATCCATTTGTTCATTTTCATAGGTAGTTTTATTTGGTTTTTAGAAAAATATATACAATAACTGGAATTTCAATTCTCTTAAATAGTTTTAAATTAAAAGTATGCAAGTGAGAGGATGAGTAGATTCCCACAGAATAATACTGTTTAGTAATTAAGGTAGCAGACACGAATTCTGCACAAGTCACAAACATTTCCAGGAACGACAGGAACTGAACAAGGGTAGCTTGTGGCTGTCAGCTGAGCCAGCTTGAACAACATGGTAGGAGTGAGGGCTTGGATCTTGCTGCTTTATTTTGACTTTAGGAATGAAAGATTTACACATCTGCCTCTGCTAACCACTACAGCTTTGAGGAAAACCATCTGGAGGTGGGGGGTTGGGGGTGGGGAAGGCCCTCTAGGGCCTCTGCTAATAAGCTAACTGTGGTCAAACCGGAGCTTGCCTTTTCAGTTCGGCATTGGTTGGATTTAGACACATTATGACTTGTCAGTCACAGCTCAACTACTAGTGGATGGAACAAAACACAAGGCCTGAAGTATTTGTCAATGCCATTTATTCTGGATTAGACCCCTGCTTTCTCCTGGACATTCTTTCTTAATGAATTCACAGTATCCAACAGTGTTTGTGAAAGCTACTTCAGTTTGGCAGCCATCTGACTTCTATGGTTTTGAGAAGGAGGAGCAAAAGTTGCCTTAATTTTGTTTCAACTCTGCCCTTTTGCTCCTCTGCATTATACAACCTCTATATACTATACACTATAGTAACTCCAGGCCTACTTCCCTAGGAGCATGGATCTATCCCTCCACTGGTTCTGGGGCTTTTCAAGGAATCACAACCTAAGCGCGCCAGCCAGAGGCCAGTTGTCATGGGATTTCCTGAGGAGTTTAAACAGATCTGGATTACAGAACAGACACCAGCAGCCACCTTCTTTCCCTGCTGCTGTTCGCAGCTGCTAAATAAGCAAAGCTACGAGGCAAACATCATGAGTAATATTAGGCTGCGGGGTTTACAAACACTTGTCGGAGTTGGAGAGAGAGGTGAAAAGAAATCGGCAAATTAGTAGTAGAGCTGGAGGTTGAATTAGGAATGAGAGGAAAGAGATCGGTATTTTGTTCTCTGTTCATCTATTTCTTGCTTAGTTTTCTTGATGCAACTAAAGATCTCCTTAAAAAGCGCTTTATATTCTGGAGGTGTGGTGGTGGTGGGGGAACTGACAGGCTCTGGGGTAGCAGAGGCTGGCTCCCAGCTGCTGGTGTCGGGCTCAGGCTGGGTCTCTTTGGCCAGTGCCCTGGAGGTCTGCACGGCCTTGTGGGACAGGGAGTCCTCTTCCTGCTGGCACTTCCTCAGCAGCTCCTCATACTTTACCTTCAGGGCGCTATACTGAGTGTCCACTTCATGCAGAAGGGAGATGCCTCTCTGCTTCACAGCCTTGGCCCTCCGAATGCAGGTCTCCTCGTGACCCCTCACGATGTCCCCCCCTGCCAAGCTGCTTAGCACTGTCTCACTGCTGCTGCGCTTGAGAGGCTTTCTGTGTGCTTCCGACACAGGCAGGAACATCTCCTCCAGCAGGCTCTGGCTGTGTTCTTTGAAAGGGATGAACAGAGAGTCTGGCACAAGCTTCTCAACCCCATTCACAAAAGGATGCTCTGACTGCAGCATCTGCCGCATCTCTGCCACCTCAGCCTCCAATTCCAGCGCCCGCGCTCGGTAGGCGTCAGTGGCTCCCAGCTGCTGTTCCAGCTCACTGTTCTCCTTGAGCACAAGCCCATATTCCTCCTCCATGGTCACCCGCTTTTGCCGCTCCAGGCTCAGCTGGGCCTGTAACATCGTCACTGTTTTCTTCAAATGCTCATTTTCTTCTTCATCAGGGCTTTGCTGACTTTGCAAGGAAGTGATCTTCTCAGCAAACACATGATCATACACAAAGTGTCTAGGACAAAAATGTTGAAAGAACATATTACCAAAAAGAAAAAAATACATACACACACACACACACACACACACACACACGTTACATAGGTCAATCGGGAATGAAAAGATTTTTTTTGCAATTTAATATTTTTGAGGAATGTGACAGTGATTAATTTTTTGCCTATTCTACACTAGAGCAGTGGTTAAAATGAAATTCTGTTAAGGTTAGCAAATAAGCACATGTAAGAAAAGATAATTTTTGTGACTATTTTTTTTAACCATTAACAGGACACCCATTTTCTAAGTCCAGTGATATGACTGACTCCTGTGAAGGAAATTAGAATGGCCCAGGGGTTCTCAAGCCTGGCTGCATATCAGAATCACCTGGGCAGGTTTTTCCCAGTACCCAGAGATCCTGATTTAGGCCTGAGGGACTCACTGGTATTGCTGTTTGAAAAATTCCAAAGTGACTTGATCAAGAGTTAAGGTTGAGAGCCACCAAATGCAGAAGCCTAGCTCTCCTGTGCAAAGTCCTAGGTAACTTGTAACCGTGTTTGTGTGATGATTTGTATCTGCCTCTCCCCGAGACTGAAGTGGGAGGGCAGGAACTGGGTCTATTTTGCTCACCACTCCTCATGTCTGGCATAGCACCTGCCACATATGTGCTCAAGAAGTTCTTTTTTTTTTTTTAATTTAGTTATTTATGATAGTCACACACACACACAGAGAGAGAGAGAGAGAGAGAGAGAGAGAGAGAGGCAGAGAGGCAGAGACACAGGCAGAGGGAGAAGCAGGCTCCATGCACTGGGAGCCGACGTGGGACTCGATCCCGGGTCCCCAGGATCGCGCCCTGGGCCAAAGGCAGGCGCCAAACCGCTGCGCCACCCAGGGATCCCCTCAAGAAGTAGTTCTTAAATATTCAGTCTCTTAACTCTAAATTATAAAGGCATTTCTTTTTCTTTTTCTTAAAAGATTTATTTATTCATGAGACACACAGAGAGAGGCAGAAACAGGCAGAGGGAGAAGCAGGCTTCCTGCGAGGAGTATGATGTGGGACTCGATCCTAGACCCTGGGATCACACCCTGAGCCAAAGGCAGATGCTCAACCGCTGAGCCACCCAGGAATCCCTATAAAGGCATTTCTGAGGCAAAAAACCTTTTTTTGAAATTTCGATTTTTTCCACTCTAATGCAAAATACAACCCCCAAACCTGTAGTCTATCAGAAGTACAACTTAATTTAAACGAAGACTTAACACATGCAAAGCACTGAAATGAATACTCTCAAGATTTCTAAAAATAAGTTTTTGCAGAATTACTAATGCCCAAGAACTCGATCAGTTGTATATTTAAGTTAAGTGGTTTTGCTCAAACCACTGGTAGTCTAATCACCAAGTAGCAATTCATAAAAGGGTACTTTTAATCTACTTGAATCAGGAATGTGTCGCTGACAGGAGATGCTTTCCCGCTCATTAATACCACAGAACAGCAGGCTCTTACTGGCGGAGATCATACAGTTCCTTCAGACATGAGAAGCTGGGTGCCGGTTTCTCCTGGTCACATTTTCCCTGGCTCCTCCTTCTTTGGCCAGATGACTTCAACTCCTCCACCTGGCTCTGGAGGTGATCAATGTTGGTTTGTAGACATTCGATTGTTTCAGTCAGACTGTGAGGAACAGAAGCAAGCCGTTTGCTGCTTGTCATATTAAATTAAGGGCATCAGCAGTGAGGAGAGATTAGTTGCCAGCCACTCAAACTGGGCACTCTTAATTGGAAAGGACTTCTAATTTAATCTCTATTCTCCATAAAGAATTAAATTAAACTGTACCCCATATTGACCCAAATCCACTAAAGCCACATTCTATTCTAGTTTACACTAAGTAACTTCCCTCTAGGGCTTCCTCAATGGAGTCTAGAAAATTTACCTCACAATCTTTTGCTGTGAGGCCTTGCTGTCAGCAACTAGCTTTTGATTTGTTTCTTCCAGTTCCCTTGCTGTGACATCTAATTGCTCATAAACCTTTGCATGCTGTTCATTCATCTGCCGTAGAAGCTCCACCTGCTTGGTCAGATACTGTAAGAGAAAATGATTGTGACCACGTTATACATTAAACAGACAAAATACCCGCAGCATTTGAACACCCACTCTTGATTCTCCAACACCAAATGGGTATCTTACAATTCAATTCTGACACTGCCTACCTGTAGGGACTCCAGGTCAGAAGGGCTTGGTCCTATAAAATTGCTCCACTTCAGACACCAGTTGAAAGATCCAGAGACCACCTGTACTTCTGACCAACCAGCTGTAAATCGGAAGGTTTCCACAACCTCCCCTCAGGTTTAATAATTTACTCCAGTAACTCACAGACCTGCTCAGGAGATCACTTTACTTATACTGACTTTTTTTTTTTTTAAGATTTTATTTATTTATTCATGAGAAACACAGAGAGAGAGAGGCAGAGGCACAGGCAGAGGGAGAAGCAGGCCCAACGCAGGGAGCCCGATGCGGGACTTGATCCCAGGTCTTCAGGATCACGCCCTGGGCCGACAGTGGCGCTAAACCACTGAGCCACCTGAGCTGCCCTATACTGACTTTATAAAAAAGGATAACAACTCAAAAAAAAAAAAAAAAAAAAGACAACTCAGGAAGAGTCACATGGAAGACATGCACAGAGCAAAGTATGGGGGTGAAGAGGAGTGCAGGGCTTCTACACCCTCTCAAGATGCACTAGCCTATTAGCACCTCAAAGTGTTCCTTGTTTCAGGGTTTCATTGAAGCTTCATTCTATAGGCACGACTGATGAAATCATTGGCCATTGGTGACTGAACTCCATCTCCAACCCCCATTCCCTCCCCAGAGGTTGGGGGTTGGACTAATGGTTCTAACTCTCTAATATTATGGTTGTGCTCCTTCTGGCAACCAGTTCCCATTCTATCCCTCAGGAGATTCCAATGGTTTTAGAAGCTCTGTGCCACGAAATAGAAAGATCAAATACATGGTTTTTATTATACCATAATACCACAGGTCTATTTTATGTAAAGAAAAACTTTAAGGGACACCTAAGTGGCTCAGTGGTTGACTTCAGGGCGTGATACAGGGTCCAGGGATCACGTCCTACATCAGACTCCCTGTGAGGAGCCTGCTTCTCCCTCTATGTCTCTGCCTGTCTTTCATGAATAAATAAATAAAATCTTTAAATCCCAATTAAAGTACTTGTCTAATAGGAAATAAATACAGGCCATCCTTTATATGTTTACTTTCCTTAATGCTTACCAACATCCTATGTATCATGAGGCTGGTCTACTCTTCTAAAGCATAATGCATGCATAAAATTAATATTCAACAAGAATATCTGAAACTGACAATCCCACAAGAGTAAAAGCAATGGAATACATGATCAATGTTTAAGCAAAAATACCATGTTTTACAGAAATAAGAAAGCCTGAAGTAGAGAATTTTAGATGATTTTTTGCTTGGAAGAAAAATGAAATTTTTTTCTCCAAATGAGCTACTCTGGACAAAAATACAGGGGAAATAACTGACTTATCCAGAAAGAGATATTTAGCTTACTATAATTCAAAGACTCTTGTTATTTTTAATATTGTGAGAATGTTATCACCATAATCCTTTTTAAAGATTTTATTTATTCCTGAGAGACAGAGAGAGGCAGAGACAGAGAGCTCCCTGCGGATAGCCTGATGCGGGACTCGATCCCAGAACCCTGGGATCACAACCTGAGCCAAAGGCAGATGCTCAACCACTGAGCCACCTGGGTGCCCCACCATAATCCTCCTTATTCATGAGAAATTTGCCAGATTATTTATTCTGGTAAATGCTAAAATCACTTTCTAAATGTCCAAGGATAAAGGGGAATAATCACAAATCACAGTCTTCATGCCTCAGTGTTAAATTACACTGACTGCCTCTCCTACAGCAACTCCACCAGAAGACAATGAAACACAGTATATATTCCAAATGAAATATTCCTAACATTTCTCTGGAGCACAACTAGAAAGAGGAAAAAAAGGTAGGTTCAAAGCATCACCAATGATCAAATGGTAAAAGAACAAAGACATTATTTTAAATTCTACATGCCTACCTAGCCTATAGCACAGAGCCCAATGTGGGCTCTGAACTCACAACCCTGAGATTAAGATCTGAGCTGCAATCAAGAGTTGGACACTTGACTGAGCCATCCAGGTGCCCAAGACATGACTTTTTAAAAATTTTTCTGAGAGAGAGAACACACATGTACACATAGTAGGAGCAGAGAGAGAGAGAAGGTCTTAAGCAGACTCTGCTGAATATGAAACCTGATGTGGGGCCTAATCTCATGACCCTGGGATCACAACCTGAACCAAAACCAAGAGTCAGATGCTTAACTGACTGAGCCACCCAGGAGCCCCAAGAATAGTGTTTTTATTTACTTATTTTTTAGTGGCTCTTTTATTTTTTTTAAATTTTATTTACTTATTTGACACAGAAAAAACAAGCATAAATTGGCCAAGCTGAAACAGGAGAGGGAGAAGCAGGCCCCCCCACTGAGCAGAGTGCCCAATTCAGGGCTTGATTCCAGGAGCCCAGGATCATGACCTGGAGCCAAAGGCAGATGCTTATTAACTAAGTCACCTAGGCGCCCCAAGGAAAATGTTTTTAAAGTCATGTCTTGGGTGCCTGGTGGCCCAGTCAGTTAAGCATTGGTCTCTTGGTTTCAGCTTAGGTTGTGATCTCAGGCACATGAGATCAGGCTCTGCACTGGGCTCCACACTGAGGGTGGAGTCGGCTTGGGATTCTCTCTTATCTGCTCCTCTTGCTTGCTTGCTCTCCCTCAAATAAATAAATAAATCTTAAAAAGAAAAAACAAAACCGGGCAGCCCAGGTGGCTCAGCGGTTTAGCGCTGCCTTCGGCCCAAGGCCTGATCCTGGAGACCCGGATCAAGTCCCATGTCAGGCTCCCTGCATGGAGCCTGCTTCTCCCTCTGCCTGTGTCTTGTCTGCCTGCCTCTCTCTCTCTCTCTCTCTCTCTCTCTCTCTCTCCTCTCATAAATAAAATCTTAAAAAAAAAAAACAAAACAAAACCCCACAACACTTCTTGGGGCTTTTTGTACAACTATACAGTTGATCCTTGATCAACATGGGGTTAGGGGCACAAACTTCCGCATAGTCAAAAATCCACTTGTAACTTTTTATTCCTCTAAGACTTTAATAGCCTACTATTGACTGGAAGCCTTACTAATGACATGAACAGTTGATTCACACATTTTGTATGTTTATATGAATTACATACTTATTCTCACAATATAGTAAGCTAAAGAAAAGAAAATGTTAAGAAAATCATGAGGAAGAGAAAATATATTTACACTACGGTTCTGTATTTTCAGAAAAAAAAATCCTTGTGTAAGTGGACCCAGACAGTTCAAATCCATGTTGTCAAGAGTCAAAGGTCACCTTTACAACCGTAAATCTGTACAACTATATTTGCAAAGCTAAAAGACTTCTTTCAAAGAATGTGCTAAATGATTTTCAGTGGACTATAAATGACAATGTGACAGTTGAAAAAAAAAGAATAAATGATCTTTTTCAAAATCTAGTGATATAACTTGGTAATATGTTGAGAAAACACTTAAGTCTCATAACTTCAACTTTCTCATCTGAAACTCCAGGGGCCAAAAATGTTTTTGGTAAATTCTCTCAATTGTAGAAATACAACGTGGCAAACACACTAAAAACTTTAAACATCCTCAGTGTGGTATGAGCAGCATCCTGTAATCGATCATTTCTTTTTTTTTTTTTTTTAAGATTTTATTTATTCATGAGACACAGAGAGTGAGAGGCAGAGAGACCTAGGCGGAGAGAGAAGCAGGCTCCATGCAGGGAGCCCGATGCAGGACTCAATTCTGAGATGCCAGGATCACGCCCTGGGCCAAAGGCAGACGCTCAACTGCTGAGCCGCTCAGGTGTCCTGAGCATTAATATTTCTGCAATGATAAGTGTGAATAAGGATTATAAACAGCTTCACAACAGTTCAGGTCAGGGTTTTCTGCCAAATGAATCTGCTGCAAACTTAAAGGAAAAAAAATCTTGTTTTATAGAGCCTTTGGGTTCAGAATTGAAAATAAGGGGTTATGAATTGATGACTAACCTATTTTGTAGGATTTAAAAATATTAAATAAGGTAGGTGAGCACACACTGATCACGGTCCCTCTCAAAGCCTATGTTTAGCCTTCACTGCCTCAGTACCTACCAGCTTCTCCTGGGAGGAGGCCCCTAATCCTGCCCTCTGGCTAGCGATGTCATAGTAGGTTCCTGTGACTGATGGGAATGTGTTCAATCTCTTAGGGACAAAGTTTAGGATACAGGTATACATACAAAGGGTACAGAAACTTCACAAGCTACTTTTATATCAAGTATAGGTGTCAAGTATTCTTTGGCACTGATTTACAACGACTGAAAAAGGCTAACACATAGACCAGACACTAATTACTAATTTACCACAGGAATTGTCTCTGCCCAGTTACTGGAATACCAACATCCTCTGTAAAGGGCAAGTGAGAGGTCAATTCCCACAGAAATCTTTTGGTGGGTATAGGATCAGAGAAAAGAGCCTGGTGGGAGGCAGCAGTATCTTAGAGCATAGGTTAGAATCTGAAGTTCTGCTTCACCACCTCTAACCGGGTGACCTTTGGCAAGTAACCTTAATTCTCAGGCGATATTTCCTCATCACCCATCTCACAAAGGCTGCCGTAAGGTTTAAGTGTGTGAAGGGTTCAGCACAGCGTCAGCATATGGTAAAACTGCTCAGGAAGAGGCAGCTACAGTTAGTTTGCAAACTTTGCATGTGCTAAGATTCATCTATCTGAGAGCTTTATTAAACAAACTACAGGAACCTATACCCCTTTCTCCTAAAATTTTGAGTCGGTGAGACTAGGGTAGAATCAGTATTCTGCATTTTCAGCAAAAACTCAAGGTGAGGTTAGTACAAGAGGTCCATGGATCACACTTATTAGAGAAATGTTGATCTTGGACATGGAAAACCCTGGAAGTCTCCCCTCCTCCCAAACTAATGTCTTTTT